ATATATATATATATATATATATATATATATATATAACAAGTTAAAAGGCCTCGAGCCAACAGTGACGCCGCGCCAGAAGGATCCAAAAGGATTCACAGTCCAAACCTCGATAAATAATAGGAAAAATATTGTAGTACACGAGGACGGACAACTTCGAGCTAAGAAAGACATATACTCAAATAAAAAGTCTAAGAAAGTTTAATAAAAACGTTTCGATCCGAGACCTTCAATGAAGGTCAATGAATCATCAGTTCATCACACAACTGATGAAGGTCTCGGACCGAAACGTTTTTATTAAACTTTCTTTGACTTTTTATTTGAGTATATGTCTTTCTGAGGTCGAAGTTGTTCGTCCTCGTGTACTACAATATTTTTCCTATATATATATTTTTTTCCTATATATATATATTTTTCCTATATATATATATATATATATATATATATATATATATATATAAATGTGCTGTATATGACTCTTTAGAAAGCCTGTAAACATTGAATTTATAGTCTCTCCTTGTTCTTCTTAATGCTTAAAGTCGTACTTTATGTAAGTGGAAAGAAATATATAAAGACGTGTAAATTAGGATTTCTTTACAGTACGGAGTCTTAACGGAACCGTAAATTTAAGATTTTATGCTGTGACATTCGAAATTTTCCGCTTCTTTACAATTGAGCAAAGGTCTAGACCTTAAGTTCCCGCCGTGTTTTTCTGTTTGATTCTCACGAATCCTTGGATTTACAGCCTCGCGGATTTTCGAGAATCTTTGATTACCATTAAAGAGCTGTTAAATATTTCATCTCAGTCCCTCTCGACCGTGGTGGTTTTGGTGGATGGAATTCAATGCTGACCGTCAATTGAGCTCGTGTAGCTTCATGTAGCTTTCTTCGGTACTAGCTGGAACTACTGTCAAGTTATAAGCCGAGATCGATGGCAACGATGGAATAATCACCAGTGAACAAAGGTGTGTCAGTTTCAAATGTTTCTGCGAAGCGGCGAAAGCGAAAACGTAAGTTCATTGACTACGTGCCGTGTCAGTCATTTACCGCTACGAACAGTCATATATTCGGCGCATGGTTATTATGCCTTATTTTCCATAGAGGATAAATAGCTTAATACCGGGTTCGATTTCTAAGATTCCGAGATCCAAGTTAACATCAGTTTCATTTCGAGACACCGAGAAGAGTCAATTATTGAGTCTTTAACACAAAGGCCGAGACGGCGTCCCTGAAAAGCAGTACTTTTATTTATTTACATTTATTTGCATTTATTTTCATTCTAATAAGAAGTTAGTTCAGTTCGTTTAGATTGGGCTTTTAATCTTTGTATATATTTTATAACTATTATATAGTTTTAAGTTTTACATTTGTAGGTATATTGCTTGTATACGACTGAGTGGAATTTACCGTGTATAAATAAAGTGATCTATCTATCTATCTATTTCGAGATTGGGCCAATTTTCTGAGACCCACGCTTTTCGAGGTACCATTCTATACACCTTCTTGCGGCTGAAACAACAGTAGAGATAGGAATTTTCGACGGATTTAACCCCTCTAGTTAAGAACATACCATAGGATAACATGAGATATAGAGAGGATGTAGAGTTTGACATTAAAGCAGGACAAAAATTTCTTTAACAATTTTTTTTTTATTTCTTGAAAGCGTTAATTTGTATTGATACAAATGTAGCTATCCCGTTACACACGTCGGTTATCATTTACCAAGCTTAAGGGTTTTGTCAATAGTTGAGAACGCTACTTAGAATAAAAAACAAACAAACAAAAAAGCACAAAATCGTGTTTGAATTGTCAGAAGTTACGTCAGACTAGTTGATTTTTGGGAGCGCCTGATAAACAAGAAAAGCCCACATTCCCCAATAAACTACGAGTGGCTTCTTTTCTACAGGTTCCTGGCCGACTTGTTTCTCTTGCTTTTTTACTATAAATTCAAGCATTTTCCGGATATCATCTAGGCATTCTTTGTATTTGGACTTAGCTTGTTGGCGTTTTTCCACTTCCCATGATTTCAAGGCCCAATGGTCTACGTACACATATCCCGAAGACGATTCAAAAAAAAATTTAGCGATTATATCACTCAATTCTTCCAGCAAACAAGTTAATTTTGTTGGCATCTCTTGATCAAATTGGAGTGACTCAACAATCGCAGACATTAGTGAATTAACGCATAAAGTTAGTGTCAATCTGGCGAGACCGAAATTCACAGCATTTTGGTCAATTCTGTCAATCTTATCTAAGGTGAACACCTTCGCTTCGTCTATGAAATCCTTAGACTCCTGGGATAAAGGATTGGTCAGATGGAGAAGATCCAAACCTGGATCACTTTTACCGTTATCGTTTTCGATCACGATCATTTTCATCGCTCTAAGCTCTTCATATTTCACTTCTTTGAAACTGAAACAATACCTGCGATTGAAATCTCGGATGAACCGCTGTATTATGTCTTCGTATATATTTTTAACACCTTTATTAATAACATGGTGGCCTTGTTTGGGGTCTTTTTTTTTTCCGCTGGTTTTTTTTTTGGGCAGATCAATATCACCTTTTTTCGACTTGACTTCTGCTTCTGCCTGTTTAATAACGGCTGAAAAGAAATTGCTATCCATTCTCAAGTTGGCTTTATCGGTTTCCTCTTTTCCTGTTGAGCTCATCAACTCCTCATTCATCCCCTTTGGGCCTTCTTATTTTGGCACCTTTCCAATCGTCACCTAGTTACCAGAGAGAAATTATGTTCGTCTCTCTTAGCAGCTTTCTCTGGATGTTTTTAAATCGACACAATGCAAAAGTGCAAGGAAGAAAGGACCCCTATATCATCAGATAAATGATGAAACCAAACCACTCAACCCGAGACAGCACCGAGGGAGGGACTGGGGCAGTAAAAAAGCCCCCCACCCCTCCCTCTCCGCCTTTTCTTCTGGCCCACCTTTTAAAAGAAAACTTGCCCTGATAAGCATGTCCCCATCACCCTGAGTAGCTGGTTGAAATTTATGCATTTGTCTTTAGCCCTTCCCCCACACACCAAGCATTAAAAAATCTTTCTTCGTGGGCCCTGTTTACAAAGGTACCAAATTAAACAGCCTGGCTATTCCATCGATTTGGCTCTTTAAATACCGGCATGTGAAGTAAGTTAGCATGACTGATGACTGTCTACGATCCAGGAAAATACTGCCCCCAAAAGGATGTTGCCTTTGACAGTTGACGAGCAACTCCCGAAGGGGTGCAAGGGGGAGACTTAAGCCAACAATTGCTATGTATGTGTCGCTGGTCTTTCAAAACCCCTACCGGAATATAGTCTATTCTTCAGCCAATTATGAACTAATTCTCTTGTTTTTAAACATTAAACTTCCCATTTTGTAATCCCTTTTTACCAAATTATCTTTTATCCCCAGTATCCCTAAAGTGTGTGACCCCATTGTAATAACTCTGTTGAAAATGCAAATCCGTCCACTGGCACATTCCCATCAGTCTATTACCAGGAAGTACACACCTCCTTCCCTCCCCCCTCTCTCCTCGGGAAAGCGGCATACCTAATGTATTCATTAACATGACCCTCAAGGCTCTCGTGCACTCGCAAAAAAGGAAAGGGAACAATTACAAACGAGTTAGCAAAGCGAAGTCGCAACTAGCGGACTAGCTCTATAAAATTTTGTCAAAGTCCCTGGGGAAGCACATCAGAAAAGGGTATCCGGTCCATTCGCCACCTCATCAAAACTGGCCACCACAAAACTCGTCGCCACTAGAGGTCAAATCGCCACCGGTAGCGAAAAAATACCACACTTTTAAAAAATTTCCTACTCCGTTAGTACAACTCGGTAACATGTATCTTGTAAGTATGCAAATTCAAGTGACAGCTCATAGCAATAAGCTTTTATTGTCAGTGCTCGCATTTTAGTGATACCATTGATGATCTGAAGAGTAGATTTTACTCACAGAGCACGCAGTATTGGCCTCTTAGAAAGCGTAAAAATTATAAATAAGGATGCTATTTGACGTATCCAAGGCTTCTCACAAGAACATAGACAGTCAAGCGTCGATGGTAACGCACTTCAGACTTATTGCTGTCTCAAATAAAATCATCACTTAAGGACGCTCAGCAACT